TCACAGATAGGGGGTTTGGGGGCCCCGAGGTGAGTTAACGGAAGTTATAGGGGAGAGAGAACGAAAGCCCAGACGAGGACCCTCTCCGCATGGCTGAGCGCGGGCACCGGCAGAACGGATGTGGGAAGAACTAAAACAGACAGACACACAGACAGGCACACAGACAGACACAGACACAGACAGACACACAGACAGACACATACACAGACAGGCACATACACAGACTCACACACAGACACACAGACACACAGACTCATACACAGACAGACACATACACAGACTCACACACAGACACACCCGCTACAGCTTCACCAGCCCGGTGCAGCAACACATCACCACACAGCACAGCACCCTGTACCGCACCGTACCTGCACCCAAGCTGGCGCCTGTTGCCCTTCCTGCAGCGACAGCTTAACCTCCAGGACGGCGTGTGGGAAGCGAGTGATCTCGGTGCGCATGACTGGCAGCGAGGGGTCGCGGTACCACCGGCCCGTGGCGGCGCAGGAGGGGCCGTCTTCGGGGTTCTCCTTGATCATGCACAAGTTTGTGTCCAGGGAGATTCGAACCGTGGCGTCGAAGGGAATCTGAGGGAGGAGGGAACACGAAAACACAAATAAAGGATACATACATACATACATAGTGATGTCGATTACCGCAAGGGAGGGGCGGGGCGGGGGGGTCAAAACGAGGCGGTGGAAAATCAAACCAATGCAAAAAGCAAAAAAAATCAGGAAAGGGGGGAATCGAGGCGGGGGGATAACGGCACGGGGCGCAAAGGAAAGACAGGAAAGACGCGAGGGAGGTTCAGAGGGCGATTTCACACGGTATTCAGGGTGGATTTTGAAAAGAAATATTAAAACAAAGGAAAACAAGTAACAAGTACATTCAAAGAGGGGACTCCCGAGGTGCACCCCGTGGCCATAAAGAGAACATTTCCAGGGCCCACACTGGCCGCCACTCCCACAGACCTCACCTGGAATGCCGTACGCATGTACTGCGTCCGTACTAACGGCTTGAGCTGTTTGGAGTCCACGGCCTTATACACCTCCATGAACAGCGTCTTGTACGACTCCTTTTCCTCCTCGCTCAACGACTTGCCCTTACGAGCCGCTGCCGCCTCCTGGTCAGCCAGAGCGTGTTCCAGAGAGTACTCCCCATCCATGAACGCCACCACCTGACCGGGGGGGGGGGAGCGGGGGGGGGTGCCTCGGGAGTTGGGGGATGGGAAAAACACAACACAATACACACACACGCACATGCACACGCTACATACATATATGTTTCTCGGAACGGTCTACCGCCGGCATCGCCGCCACTACCGCGACCGCTACTGCTGGACCGCTACATGCTTTCGCGGGCTTGCGGACGGGAAAAACACACACAACTACATATGTGGCTCGGCTCTGAGATGATTACCTCTGTCGATATTTGATAAGAAGAGAACGAAAAATGTGGAGATGTGGCGTTGTGCTAACAACAAGTCTTACTTAGGCTGCTGGTCTGCGCTGTGCAGAGAGCTGCAGGGCTGCTGGGCTGTTAAAAAGTGCGGGACGAGTGGTGGAGCTGCGCCGGATGATGCAGAAGGTGAGGGGGTTCTGGGGGCCCAGCCGTTCCTGCCGAGTATAATTAATGGTAAGCGGGAGGAGCCGCGCGGGCTACCTTCCTCCCCCGGAGGTCTTTCCTGGAGGGGACCTAGGAGCTCTGTGTGTGTTTCGTGGTCTATCCTGTGTCTTCCCTCTTCTTTGCGGTATCGCCTGTCTGCCCCTGCCTCGCGCCTCTCTCTCGGTGTTGATTGGGCTTCTGGTGCGTTCTGGTCCTTTCTTTGGTTTGAATTGCATCTCCCCTGGACCAGCCGGGGGGCGAGGGAGATGTGGAGGCGGCCAGCATAACGTCTTAGGCTGGCTGTGAGGCGTCTTTTGTGGTTCCTAGCCCTCTGTAAAAACACAGGTTATCGGTCCTTTTCGGCGGCTTTTGTCTGGTTTGTTTGCTGCTGCAGGAGATCTCACCCGCCCGGGACGCCCAGCCGACTTCCACACACCACCACCCCACACCCCACCCCACCCCACCCTACACCCCACACCCCAGACCCCACCCCACCCCACACCACACCACACCTTGTCGCTGGGTAGTGTGAATCGCTCCTTGACGGACTCCTCCCCCTTCCAGCTCTCCTTGTGGGTCTTGCGCTCGAAGAACACGAGTGTGGGCGGATGACTGCCGTACCACCTGATGGTCCGTCATGTGCAAGGATGCAGAAATGTGTCGTGGTGTGACGCGGTGTGAGGTGAGGTGAGGTGAGGGTGGAGGGCACATCTGATGGTGATGCTAAGACATACATACATACATACATACATACATACATACATACATACATACATACATACATACATACATACATAATACACGCGTAAAGAAAGGACGCACCTGATCCTTAACGCAATGGCCCCGGGTTTCTTATCCAATCGGCCGTGGTAGAGCTCCAAATTGGAGTTATCCATATACACCGAGTTGATCAGCTGCGTGTGTGTGTGTGTGTGTGCGTGAGTGTATTGGCACCCCCCGTTGCGTGCGGGTGTTGGGGTCGGGGACGAGCAAGGGGATTGGGGGGGAGAAAAGGAGGCGGCACGATTGGGGGCGGTGTGATGTCGTGTGTGATGGAAGGAGGAGGGGGGACGGGAAAGCGGGAAAAAGGAGGACGGGGGTTAAAGATGATGACGAAAAGGGACGGCTCGCCCAGACACTGCACTTACTGCCCGTTTCCTTGTTTTTGTTGTTTTCCATGTGCTTGTAGCTATAGGAATATAAGGCCCCGGAATCAACCCCGCCTGGGATCCCAATTTTGTGCTCCTGTCCCATCACACACGCACACAACTAAAAAACACCCATCCGCCTCTCCCCTCTTCTTCTTCTCCCCCCCCCCACCCAATACACACACATATGCAGCCCAGTAAACCCCCACCCAATACACACACATATGCAGCCCAGTAAACCCCCACCCAATACACACACATATGCAGCCCAGTAAACCCCCACCCAATACACACACATATGCAGCCCAGCAGCCCACCTGCGCATCCCCCGTGAAGTTGTTCTTGTCGAACTGGAACACGGGCAGGTGCTGCAGCACGTGGTGCTTCACAGTGGACACGTCCTCATTGCGAACCCAGTACTTGGTGGTGCTGCGGACGAAACCCTGAAGAGGGGCGCGGGGACGGCAACAAGACACCAACATCAACGTCAATAACAACAATAGCAGAGCTTTAGTGGCAAACGCTTTAGCAGCAATAGCAGCAGCAGCAATAGCTTTAGCAGCAGCAGCCTTAGCATCATCATCATCAGCAGCGGTCGCTGTGTTGCTGGGGCCGCATGCCACATGTGGTAAGTTGTCCACCCTCCACTCCAGGGGGGGGGGCTATGTAGAAATGAACCACCATGAGGCAAGCTGGCAGAGCAGATCAGAGGAGAGGGGAAGGCAGGAGTTGGAAAGGAGAGTAGAAGGAACCCCTCCCAAAAAGCATCCCCNCCTTCCCTTATCCTCCCCCCCTCTCCCCCGGCCCCCCAATACAAACACACCCCCCCACAAATACACACATGCATACCTGCGACGCGTACTCGTTCTTCTCGCCGGAGGAATCTCCTCTCAGTTTGGAGTAGATGTTGGACAGCGACACCAGCAGGTCGGAGTAGTTGCCCTGCACCCAGGGCTGCTGGTGCAGATGCGCCACGTAGAATTGGCGACACGGCGCGTGGGGCAAACACTTGTCGTGCTTCTTTAAAATCTTGTGGAAGCCCTGGGAGAAGCGGGGAGGGGTTGGAGGGGTTGGAGGGGGGAAGGGGTTTGACGGGGAGGGGTTGCTGGGGGAGGGGGGGATAAGAGGGGATAGAGGAGTTATACGCAAACTCAAGAAGGGAGAATATCTGCTGCCGTACGCTGCCGTACGCGGCGATGACGCGACTGAGGAGGGGCAGGAGGGGGGGAGCTGCAATCTTGGGAAGGGGGGTAGGAAGGTACAAGTCGAAGATAAATTGACTTAACGCCCGAAAGAGCCCAGTACTGGGGTCGGGTAGGGCAGTAGGAGAGAGGTATACGACATGAGGTGTACGGCATAAACGACGGATACTTAGGTATGGGCGGTACGGCCATCCATCCCTTATCGGTTCACCTGTCGGGCCCTGCCACCTAGCCTTCCCTTAATTGTCCCTCCCCCTGCTTCCATGTGTTCCCTACCAACCTGTGTGCGTGTGCGTGTGCGTGTGTGTATGTGTATGCCTCTCTCCCTCTCACCACGTGCCCCGTGCTCCCGCACTTTCGCCCTCTCCCCCCTTCCCAACAACCCAACAAATACCCCCCACACAGACACACACACACACTCTCTCTCTCCCGGCGGAGACGGGAGGGGGGTAAGACGAACCACTGGCGTGTGGGAATAAGTGGGGGATAAGTGCAGAAACCGGAAGAATGTTTCTCCCCCCCCCCCCGAAGGAGATGTATGATGGTGATGACGGTAATGGTGGTGATGGTATCGACATTGACCATAATGATGGTAATGATGATGCAATGGTTGATCCATGGTTGATCCAGTCAACTGCTGCGATATCCCCCCCGGGGGGAGGGGGAGGGGACGTCAGCCAGCACAGCGGCACCGGAGCACTGAAAGGGGAGCGCAGATCATTCATTGCTTTACGTTTTAGCAAATGGATTCTATTGCATGTGCGGAACCGTCGAGTGGAACATGGATCTTGTGGATCCAGAGCGATTTTGGATCCAGACACGTGATTCCCGGATTTCAAATTCAAAGTCAAAATATTCAAATCCTCACCAGGTAGTTGATGTTAACGAACTTCTCAAGTGCCAGGAAGTCGTCACCGATACGTTGGGCCTCCTGCGGGAGTTGACGTAACAGTCGGAGGGTGGTTGTTGGCAGTTGGAGGTTTGGCAGTTGGAGCGCTAACGGTAATAGACAGGGACATATCTCAGGAGCTTGAACCAGACCCGGCCAAGACAAAGACCAGCACGCAAACTCGAACATACAGACTGACGGACGGTGTGAGCTGCTGTGCGGAGTTGGCTCTGCAAGTACAGACGTACATGCAGCTCAACTGGACAACCCCCTCTTCGAAGGAGTTGTGAAGTCGCTCGTGTGTACGCGCCCCCCTGCTCCTTCAGCAGTACTTACACCTCATCGCCCACGGGGCCGCCCTCAGGCCTTTACGGACATCCACATCGCACGGCTAAAGGCTCTACTTCCCTTCGGCACACGACACACAGACACACAGACACACAGTCCCGAGGAACACACACACACACCCCTGTATGAGACCCACCCAGATACCCTTTCCTCTCCCTCCTCCCGGTCTCGCACAGGCTCAGATCCCGCATTCAAGTCTGCTGCCCGTAACCAGATGATTGCTCCGGAACCCAACCCAACTGTTGCTCTCATTTCCTAACCCGCGCACTAAACCCACGTCCCCTCCCTCCCTCCCTCCCTCCAAGCCCTTTGCGCCCCACATCTCTCCAACCTCACAGGCCCTAACCCCGTTTCCCCCTCTCCACCCCTCCCTCCCTTCCCTCCACCCCCCTCTCCGCCCCCCCTCTCTCCTCCCCTCTCCCCTCACCCCTCG